ATTCAATTTACATCAGTGAAATTGTTGATATTCACTCATCTAAGTGAAGATGGAACATGCTTGAGGATCCATTATTTCATATTCACTGCATTATCTGTAAGTTAAAATCATGTGGTATGTGTGTCTCAAAGTGCTTTCCTAAAAAAGAAACCAATTTTGTATGATTTCCCTACAATTAATATTCTGTTCCCTCAAATTCTTATTCAGCAATATCAGATTCATAATTTTATGATTAAAAAGATCCCAACTCTTTAAAGGCAGAAAGCTGAACGAGAGCAAACAGCACCTTTTGAGAAAAAAGACCCTTTAGGCACTAGGATGCCTTGTTAGGAGGATCCTACCTAACCTGGCAATGCAGCTACTTGATAAAACAAACCAGCAAATAAAATGGACTGACTGATTGAAATGAAGTCTTTCTAGACAGCTTATTATAATTAGATTTACAATCCTATTATGTCTAGGTTTTCTACGGAGACTTTTGTCTAAACTTCAAAGGACGTCTGCTTCCTTTTAAAGTATTTCCACTACCTACATATCAAACCTGTCAGAGTGCAAAAATACTACATACCCTCTTTTCCTGCTCCAGGCCATAGTAAAATTTACACCAGCAAAAAAAGCTTATGCTTCTATTAACGTATATTACAACTGCAGTAATAGCCCACTCCAGGAATATATATGCTGGGGCTTGCTAGCATTCCAATGAAACAGAAGTTAAAAAACATCAAGGACTACTGTGTTACAGCTACTTAAAATAACTTGGAGAAGCAAAGCAACTGCCTGGTGCAGTGCTATAAAATAAAACATGTAAGAAAAAGACCTCTTTCACATTTTCAAATTTAGCCAAAGGAATAAATGGCATAATCCTGACAGGACTCTGCTCTCATTCCTCATCCATCAGACTTGTGACAGTTTCAAAAATACATTTGTGAGGAAACTAACTCTGTTAATAGGAATGGTATAAAACTTTAGGGTAAATAGCACATTATTTGCAATTTAAGGTAATCTTCTAACCAGAAATTGTGCCAAGTGCTTTTTATAAATTATGCTGAAACGCTTGTAAAAAATTACTGAAATAAGCTTCTATTTATCAGGTTTAAAAGTTAAACAGTGATGTTCTAAGGTACCGATTCAATAACGCAGTAAAGAACTAAATACTCCGATCGATAACAAACATTGTTCTGGGCCTGGTCTTCTTTCCCATTCTTTAGTAAATCTTTGTTAATAATAAAAGAATTAAAATATGGCATTAATTTGAATGAGTGGTGTTTACAGATGCATGGGGAGTGAGAAAGAAATCACAATAGTGATAAACTGTTGCTTTGCTGTCAACAGTTGTCACTCCTAGAAACGGGAACTAAAATGTTAATCTTCCTTCTCCTTCTACCACAGGTATCCAAACGATGGCTCCAGATAAATGTGAGGTATGTCTTTTGAATACACAAAGCAATCATACTATGTGAGAGAAAGGGAAATTAAACCAAGGTGGAATTTACTGGGGGCAGTGCCTACATGGAGGAGAGAGAGGCATTTATCTCCTACAACTGTTCCAACTTGACAGAATTACACAATGAGTTAAAAGTAACTAAACCTAAAATTTTGAAATGGGAGATTGACTGAGGGGTTTGCTTGTTGAGAATTCTGCTTGTTTTAATACAAGAAAAGCAGAGAGTGCTGAGGTAACTAGTTTTGATTTAGCCATGAGAAGCCTTCAGGTGTGCAAACTCTTTTTTGAAGACCTGAAGTTGTCAGATATACTGCTTGATTTACGAAAAATATTGCATTCCCCTGCAAATCTTTTCTTACTAAAATATCCAGCTCAGACTTTACCGTGAGTCACGGCAAAATCAAAGACAAATACAGGTTAGAAACAGTTCTTCTTAGTAAAACCTAATTATACTGAACACTTAAAGAGTGTCAGAGAGAAAAAAAGCAGCTAGCACATGTGGACAAGTGAGGTTGTAAGGACTCTGATACCCAATTAGCACGTGGGCAACAAAGGAAGAAAAGGATCATTAATTTCTTTTAGAGAGGCAGGGGTCAGCAACAAAATCAAATGAGTCTTTTAGTTCCTTAGTCTGACTTTGATGTTTAATAAGAGATAATAATGTAGGCTTCAAATACTTTTTGGGTATTTTCTCTTTTATTCATGTCATGTCATACAGTGAAAAACCTGGTGGCAAATCTGTGTGTTTGCCTTGAAACCTTCTCCTGTTAAGTGCTGGAATGGTTTAACATTTCCAGCTGAGCACTTGTTCAGCAACTCTACCCTTCAGCAGTAGTCAGTCATCTGTACTCCAGTTAGATGTCACTTATATGAAATACAAAGAAAATAAGGAGTTGTAGGTGGGTTTTGTTTGTGTTTTGTTGGGGTATTTTTTGTTGTTTTTTCATTTTGTTGGTTTGTTTTTTTCTTTCCACTTAGAAGAGATGATTGTCCTCATTCTTTCAGTACTTTCCACCAGCAATACCAAGTGAGACACGTGGAGTTCTCTGCCAGGGAAAAGGACACCGAGCTGCAGTCAAAATGCCCAAAATTTTACTTAACATACCCCAGATTTCATTCCTGTTAGAGGCTTTGTGGCTGACTCACCTGCGGTCAAAACAAAAGATGACACCTAAAATGAAAAGGTGGTATAATCTCAAAGGCAACAGCTTTGGTATATTTGCTTTGGTATATATATAATCAGAATTTTCAACTGGAGGCATATCATTTGTAAAATACATTATTAGCATCTCATGCCATTATTAATAAAAGGATAACAAGCTTTCTCTTTGAAAAATAAGCAAGCTTGAATAGGCAGATGTCTAATATGATGTTGTGACAATTTTATGGCAGTACATATTTTAAACTAGATTGCTAAAAGCTCTGGAACATACTCATAATTAAGACGAATTTGCATGTCCCTAAGATAACAGTTCTGGGATTCTCTGCCTTATCACTAAGTGCAGTTGAGCATTTAAAGTTTCAGAAAAGGGAGGGGAAGAAGTCTTTGTTGAAAGTATGATGGCTTTGAGAGACTTTAATTTGCTAGATGGGGAAAATGGACTGTAACATTTTGATAACAGAGTGAAGAAACTGCGAGCTATTGACCCAGGTGCATCTGATGTGTCCATCAAAGTGGCATGCTGCAGCTGCACAGCTGTGATCTCAAAGGAGTTTTGATGGGAGTTCAGGGGCTATGCTAAAACTGCAAGACCACCAGCCCAGTCAGCCTGAGAAGTGCCTGTAGCTTTTAAGTTCCCTTTCCAAGGGCCTAAAATATTAAATAAAACAACACAGATTGAAAGCAGACCTTTTTCACTTGGGTATTACTGGTAAACATGAACCTGCATGACACTAAATGCTCCCTAAAGCACAAGCACACATCAGAGCACATGCTGAAGGCCAAAACACACTTTTTAAAGAGTGGCTGCAACAGAAAGATACTGAAACTGAAAGGATTCCAACTTGCTGACTGAGAAGACAGAGCTGCATCCATGGGGTGATGATCCTATTTCTCTTAGTCTTCTTTTATTCTTTCTCCCCTCTACTTTGAATCTAGGGCCACAGAAATGATCAGAGGGATGGAACACCTCTCATGTGAGGAAAGGCAGAGAGAATCAAAGCTGTTCAGCCTGGAGAAGGTTCAGGCGAGACCTTATTGCAGCCTTCCAGTACTTAAAAAGGGGCCTGCAAGAAAGATAGGGAGAGACTTCTTAAAGAGGGGAGAATCAGGCTGAATATGAGGAAGGCATTTTTATTTACAATGAGGGTGGCAAAGTACTGGCACAGGTTGCTCAAAGAGGTGGTAGACACACCATCCTTGGAGACATTCAAGGCCAGGCTGGACACGGTTCTGGGCAACCTAACCTAGTTGAAGATGTCCCTGCAGAAGGGCTAGACCAGATGACTTGTTGTCGTGGTTTAAACCCAGTCAGGTAGCTTGTTCACTCACTCCCAGTGAGTGGTGCCGAGCTGACAACAATCGAGGTCCGTGTCCGTCTCCCCCTCCCGCCTCCCCGCACCGGGGCTCTCCCCTTCCCCGCTCCCGGAGGAACGGGGAGGAGGATCGAGAGAGTGCAACTCCTACGGGTTGAGACAAAAACATTCCAGCAACAAATCACCACCGCTACTATCAGCTAAAACAATGATAAGGGAAAATAACAAGGGAAGAGAATACGATACCACCGGCCAAGAAAACGAGTTCCACCCGGAAGCCCCTGTCCTTCCGGGTAACTCCCAGTTACCCCTCACCCCGGGCATGACGTGCTGTGGTATGGAATACCTCCCCGGCTAGCCCGGGTCAGGCGCCCCGTCTCTGCTTCCTCACAGCCTCCCCTCCTCCCTGGCAGAGCATGAGCCTCACAAAGTCCTTGGCCAAACCAAAGTATCCTTGTTATCAGCTCTGTTCCCGAGCTGAAAGTCAAAACACTGCACTGCACCAGCTAACACAAAGGAAAAACATGACTGCTACTGCGGAACCCAGGACACTTGTGAAAGTCCCTTCCCACCCAAACTATTCTGTTTGCATGACTAATACCAGCCGCGTTCTGAAACGTTTACGGTGAGCCTAAAAACAAGCCTCCCCTTGCAGCAGGTGTCGGGCACTGGCTTACCTCCCTCACGAGGGCACGCTGAGGCGGCAGCGCTCCTCCACCCTCGAGGCTCCAAGCGGCGCCAGCCAGCACGCGCCGTTCCAGCGCCCTCCCCAGCCGGCGCAAGCGCGCCACGCGCACCGGCAGCGTTCTCGGCAGGTCAACGGTCGTCCGTTTTAAAGCTCGCGTGCCTCGCACCTCCCTCTGCCCCGCTGCGATTGGCTGGCGCTGCCTGTCAATTATGCCCGTGCCCGCCCTGGCGGCCTGGTGATTGGCTGAGAGGGAGCAGAGAGGGAGAAAGCTGAGGCAGCGGGGCTTACGCGGGTCAGGGGGTGGTGGTGTGTCCTGCGGTTCTGTCTGTGTAGCTGCTGTGGCGGCGGGCTCGGACACTGGTCCTTGTGCTGTGGGGAGAGGCGGAGGCTGCGTGAGGGACGAGGGCGTGTGGAGAAAGGGCCGCGGCGGGCGTCCTCAACGTGCAATAGTCGGCCAGAGCAGAGCAGGGTATTGCCAGGGTTGCTGTTTCTCTTTTCTCTCCCTGTCCCACATGCGGTCTTGCCTCAGGTAGCATTCTTGGCTTAGGGCCTGCCTGGTTCGGTTGCTTCTCCCACTGGTATGGTGTCCTAGCTCCTCACTGCGTCTTCACCTCCGTGGGAGGGGTGAGGGCGGTCTTGTCAACTCCCACGATTTTATCTTGTGTCCCTTTGCTGATCTTACAGATAATGTTGTTCTTGACTGGATGTTTGAACTCGTTGGGGAAAAGGGGAAAAAAGTTTGCCTCTTCCTTGCTCCAGTTCTGTTGTCTGTTTCCATACCTTGTTAGGCCTGAAGTTGCAGAGAGTTTTCCTGATTATGGAATCTTTGTAAAGTATGTAGCCTGTGAAACGCAGTAAATCTTAATTAATTTGCAGAAAGGAGATGGGACACTGTTTGTAGCAGGTAGGAGTCATGCTGTTGCTGCTGTTGCCTGTCAGAGATTTTTTTTGTGCTCTATCCTGCTTCCTTTCTGGAATTTCATTTTAATAAAGCCAGGACTTGTTTGGCATTTGTCTTTTTTTAAATGACCACTGATGGGTGTCATACAAACTTGACTAGGGTGGTTGCTTGCATGGATTCTTGCCCCAAAATGAATACAAGCTTGATAGAAAAAAACAAAATACACAAACAAAATGTATCTCCACCAAAAGTTGTCTTTTTCTAGGATGGAAAAATATAGTTGTGTTTATTCTGTTCACATTCTAATTAAGAGATATGTGAAGTCTATAATGTCATGTGAAGGCTGCTGTGAAAAGAATGCGCTAGTACTTTGATTCAAAGCACCTTTGAAATGACTGAGCTGTTCTGCGAGGAGAAGGCCACCTCAGGACATTGCATAATATGCATAAATGTGGCAGAGGAAGGGGCTTAATCCCTCCATAAATTGACTATATAATCTTCTTTAAAAAATATGCAAAATAATTTTGGAAGTGCTGGGGTAGTTTTCAGTAGAATGTGTAACTGAAAAGGACTAGCAACTGTGGAGGTGGTTAGTGTTTTGAGTATGGAGTAAAAGCTTACTTAGTGTAACCAGCAATCATCTGAAAACCTTTAGATATAAAGATAGGTGAGATAACATTTGGTACATTATTATGGCTTTACTTTTACTAATTCTTACTTTTGCTAGTGATAGGGAGTTACGGTTAGCTGTCAAGTAAAATAATTTGTGTAGATAATGGTGCTCATTTGGATCATCAAGCTAAAAGTAATAGCTTAGCTGGTGCAAAAGCACCAAAGTTACAAGCTGAAGAGAAGGTCGCTTCAGCTTCAGGCTTTAGAAAAAGGATGCAATTGTAACTGTTCTTGAGCTCTTCTTCTCTCCCTTTTGGCAGTATTCGGTTCATTGCAACTAGTTTTGAGTTTGCTGCAGTGCTTGAGATGGTTGGTTTCTTGGGACCTTCAACAGTGGAAGCCTAATGAAAGGAGAGGCATATGAATGTTTATTCACTTTACTGTCCTTGATTTAGTTTCTTTTATTTTCTGTTTTCCAGATACTTGCTGAACAGCAAGACTTCCTAGGTAAGGCCTCAATTGGTGAAGTAAAAGTGAGTTGACAAGAAACAGCTGGTTTTAACTGTTTTTCTTGGAAAAAAATAAATTGCCATGTCTCAGATCATAATTAATTGGACCGTGATCCTGAAGACAAAGCAAGCTGAAAACATAAGGGGCATCAAAGAACAAGTAGGAGTTGTAGCTCATTTTTCTGGTGGTAATTTTTTTTGCAAAGGTTTGAATTACTGAACCTTAAAGCATAGACTTTTGGAAAAAGAAGACATAAATTCAGTGAAAAGGAGGCTATAAAAAAAAAAATCTGACTTGAAAGTTAATTTTTTAAGGGGCTTGACTGGTAGAGTAATTGCTAAATGGGCTCCTTAGTGTGATTGTTTCCCATCACCTGAATGACAGAAACCCAAAGCTGTTGTACAAGATTTGGCATGCCAGAGAAATAGTGGCTGGAACAACAACAACCATATAGGTAGATGTTTTTAGTTTTGGCGACTGTAAAAATTGATAAAGTAATGAAAATAAGGACCTCAGAAGTGGGATTATTTCAACCCCTTAGTTTTGTCAGACAATTCGGCCTAGTTTTATTATGTATTGGATTGAATTAAATCACTTTTGCTCATGAATTCTTTGAATTCTTTATATTATTTAGGCATGGACTTAATGTATTAAGTATTTTGGTACTAAAGTACAGTTTCAAGATCAGGAGTATTTCTATAAAATGTGGTAATAAAAAAGTGGAACTTGGCACTTCAGGTAGCATACAGGTCTCCACACAACTGTGATAACATGATTTATGAAATAATTCATTAATTTAGGTGAAGGGCAGCATACTTAGAAAAGAGTTGTGATACAGTTTAGGAAAATCTGAATATAGAATGTCTAGTTGCTGGTTAAAGTTCAAGATTATCGAAACTACAAAACAGTGCTTTGAAAACAAATGCGCAGACAATAGTAGATGGATTTGGTATTAAAGCTTTATGCTAAACAAAGTCACAGTAAATAGACAAATATAGCAGAAATTGTTTTTCTGTGCTTTGGTAACTTCTGTGTATGTATAACAATGTAGAATTACCTGAATTGAAGTATCTGTAATGTTCTATTGAAGCTATTGCAGATATGCATGAGGAAAACAAAGCTGCAGCAAATGTATGTGGCAAAATCCGAAGTGGCACTCAGAATGAGGCTGCTTTACTTGCCCTTATGGAGAAGACTGGATACAGCATGGTTCAAGAGAATGGACAAAGAAAATTTGGTGGGCCTCCACCAGGTAAGCATTTCTTTTGAGATGACAAAGTTGGAGTTTATTTGCTGTAAGGAGAGTTGCACTGAATCACGCTGAAAATTTGTGTAGCCCTGCATCCTGTATCTTGACCATGATCAGTAGCAGATGACTTGTAAGAAATTATGATAACTGTTTGTAAATGAAGAGTTTTACTGTTAATTTTGCTTGTTTAAGCTGTGGTTTCTATAAGCTTGTATTGCTGCCAGGTGAGATAGTCTCTGTGTCAGCTGTTTTTTCCTCTTACCATCTTGTTTTTTTTCTGGCTGCTCTCCAGAGCAAAGAGCTGATCTGGTTCAAAATTGCCTTAAACAAACTCTATTCTTTTTTCCCACCTCAGCTCAGTTCTTCAGCTTATGTCACTTGTGGAAAATTTATCTGTTGAATGGGAGTGGTGGGAAAGTGGAGAAAGTAGATTTTCATTGCTTCATTTGTGTCTTCTGCTTAGGTTGCTGCAGACGTAATGATGTCATTAGGTATTTAAGTGATCAGAATAGTGTGGAAGAAAATTTAAGATAGCATGGATCTCAGAAACACTTGGAGGATTATAACTTTCTAATGCTGATTGAAGTTCGATTACTTGAATTACTGCAAAAAAAGGAATCCTATAGTCTGTTGTCCAGTGATCAAATACCCAGTCAAGGAAACTTTCTGGTCTGTTGGTATCTACATGAGGAATGGTGCTTTTGGTTAACCATTTCCATGGTGGCATCTGCCATGTTGCTCATGGCAAATGTGGCACAGATGAGGTTTCCTTTTAAGTCAGGAGTTGCAACTTTCTCCCAGTTAGCAGTAATGTGCTGTAATGCTAAGTTACCATGCAGCTTCAATATTAGAAGAGGAACTTTTTGAATGGTAGGTGGCTTTTAGTTACTGAGAATCACAGTTTAATTGGTTATCAGGCTGAAGATAATAGTGAATTTGTCTAGTTAATAAATTAACATTCTTATTTAATGTCATGACTTCCCTATGCCATCAAGCATAGCCTCCTCCCCTCTTTCCCGATGAAGGTATGCAGTTGCTTTTCTTTTCGGAGTTGCTAAATGGTATACTGTTGGTTTACGCTTTTTTATGTGGGCAGCTGACTGGAATGATGTGAGTGATGGCAGTACTAGCTTGCAAACTATACTACTTGCCATGTCCTGTCAGACCTCAGCTGAAGTGGTTATAAATGTTTATAAAGCTGAAAGTCATAAAGATGTTGAATGCTGTGTGGAACAGAGCCAGACTTTTTCCTGAGTAAGCCATGACAGCATAGCTGCAAATACATGCCAGTTGTGATGTCTGGATAGCTTCCTTATGTACCATGTAGTTCTTGGTGTACAGTTTATAGAGGAAAATTTATTCTGTGGGAAGGCAAAAGTTTCCCAATTCTGTTAAGACATGTTTTTCATGAGTAGATTATGTGCTTTTTGAGTCTTACATGAAGGAAAAAGTTTTATTTACATGTAGACTCTTAGAAACCTATCTGTGTTTTAAGTAATGCTGGGTTCAGTTGGTTTCGGTGAAAAAACCCAGAAGATGGAATTAAAAGAAATAAAAAATGTGGGCTTATGACTTTTTTTTTTTATGTATTTAAACATAACAGAAAAGGGTTAAATACAGGATAACAATATGCTAGTTTTAAATAGAGACTAAATATAAGTAACTCCCACCTTCAAATTGGAAGTCTGGGGGAAATGTATTTACCTTTATTTGTACTAAGATTGTTGTTGGACAATTTCTTCTAAGGTTGGGAAGGTCCTCCACCACCTCGTGGATGTGAAGTTTTTGTGGGTAAGATTCCTCGTGACATGTATGAAGATGAATTGGTTCCTGTTTTCGAGAGAGCTGGGAAGATCTATGAATTTAGACTCATGATGGAATTCAGTGGTGAGAATCGAGGCTATGCTTTTGTGATGTATACTACTAAAGAGGAAGCCCAGCTAGCAATCAAGATTCTTAACAATTATGAAATTCGTCCAGGGAAGTTTATTGGTGTCTGTGTAAGCTTGGACAACTGCAGACTGTTTATTGGAGCAATTCCAAAAGAAAAGAAGAAAGAAGAAATACTGAATGAAATGAAGAAAGTTACAGAAGGAGTGGTGGATGTCATTGTTTATCCAAATGCCACTGACAAAACTAAAAATCGTGGCTTTGCTTTTGTAGAATATGAATCTCACAGAGCAGCTGCAATGGCTAGGAGGCGGCTTATCCCAGGTAAACTGATACGTAATTCAACTGCAGGAGGATGTGTCTCCACATTGCATGGAATGGGGTGGTGGATCATCTCTGTTTTCCTTTGTTTAATGTATTTTGAGAGTTGCAAAACTGCAGTAGTGCCTTTCAGCTAAAGAGGAATTTTTTATTTTATTTTTTGTTCATCAACATTTTTTGTTGGGATTTATTTCTTAAGAAACTGAAATTTAAGCAGTTGTGAGAATGAAAGAGCAGACATCTGTTTCATAAACTCAAGTTACTGTAATTTACATCAAGATATGTATTTGCTTGGGCACACATCCAGTTTTCATTTACATACGTTGTCCCTGCACATGAATTCTCTTAAAGCTGAGTTTAAAAAATACAGTGTTTGGGATGTGTCCCTTATTTTCTTTGAGCTGCATGAGTGACATTATTGATACTTCATACTGTAAAAATGTTTGAAAGTAGGTCTTTAATCTTTTACCTGTTAAACTCTGTCCTGGGTTCAGCAGTAGCAGTCATTTTTCTCCTTGGTAGCTGGTGCAGTGCTGTGTTTTGACAGGAGAAAAATGACTGCTACTGCTGAACCCAGGACAAACTCTTAAAATTATTTTCAAGTAAAAGACAACTTTTTCTTTGCACCTTATTTTCTTTAGTAATTTCAAGTAGCAATATTTTACATATTTGGCTTAAGTAGATGCAGGGAACACAAACCATTTCCATGTGGTATGCATCATGTTGTAGAGGAACTGCTAAGAATGATTTTTGTTTTCACTTGTGTATTTCTTTTTGTTGTATTACTTTGCTGTAGGAACATTTCAGCTTTGGGGTCATACTATTCAAGTAGACTGGGCAGATCCTGAGAAAGAAGTTGATGAAGAAACAATGCAAAAAGTTAAGGTATTATATGTAAGAAATTTGATGATATCTACTACAGAGGAGACAATTAAAGCCGAATTCAACAAGTTCAAGCCAGGAATAGTTGAACGTGTAAAGAAGCTGAGAGACTATGCTTTTGTTCACTTTTTCCACCGAGATGATGCACTGGCTGCTATGTCTGTGATGAATGGAAAGTGCATTGATGGAGCCAGTATTGAGGTAACACTGGCAAAGCCAGTTAACAAAGAAAGTACTTGGAAGCAACATTTTAATGGTCAGATAAGTCCCAGTTCTGAAAATCTCTTGGGGTTTCCTAACAAAGAAGATGGTCATCAAAAACCCTTAGGGAAACCAGTGAGTCTTCCAGTTCATCTTAATGGTCAGCACAGTCCAGTCCCCACTGAAGTTGAAAGATGTACGTACCCATTTTTTCCAGGAATAAAACTTACTCCAATTAGCATGTATTCTTTAAAATCCAGTCACTTCAGTTCTGCAGCAATGCATCTGGATTATTTTTGTAATAAAAATAATTGGGCACCGCCAGAATACTACTTGTTTTCAACCACAAGTCAGGATGGGAAAACACTCTTGGTGTACAAGGTGCTTATTCCTGGTATTGCTGATGCTTCCCAGAGTATTTTCATGCCAGACAAACTATGTACAACAGTGGAAGGTGCAAAGGAATTGGCAGCACAGTTCACGCTTCTACATCTAGGTAAGCATAAATGCTTCCCAACTGAAGCTAGAAAAGTTACTTTTCAAGTGTTTTTTGTGTATATATCTTAGCTTTTGTGTATATCTTTATGTAGATGAGTTAGTTTACGGAAGAATTGTTTCTTGTGTAGTCAGCTGAGTCTGGACCATCAGATGAGAGCACTGGAGTAATACTGTAAACATGTATACAATGCAATGCTAGGGTCATTTTTGCTTACATTTATCTGCCATAATGATTCATAAAGAAGAACTAGATGACATGTTAAGTGACTTAGGTAAAAAGTCATCTGTGTGATGATTGTGGTCCTGAAAATTTATTTGAAAGAAGAATGGAGACAGCTTCAAGTTCTGTGCTTGACCTGCCCATTCTGTGTTTTACAGATAGCATTATCTAAAAATAGTATTTTCTGTACTACTTCGGGAAAGAATTGCCAGAGTAATTTAAAAAAATTAGATGAAGAATGATTATTCACAGCTATGGTAAAATCCAGAATGTAAACAAGTTTAAAAAGATTAAGAAAGTATGTGTTGAGATTTTTATCTTTTCAATTATAGTTACAAGTGCTGTAGGGAAAACATTTTAAGGTGAATTTAAATTAACAGTATTTGAAAGCTTTTTAGTACTTCAGTATGCCACATGATCACAGTTAATGTGAATTCTTACTTAGCAGAATTCCCAGATCCCATGTTTGGTTTTTAAAAGCTGTCTACCTAATGGCCTAGTGCTAGTAATGCTGTCTTGTTATCTTTGAACTATGAAACTTTTGATGGCCTTACTGTTTCTGAGAATTTGCTCTGGCTGCTCTGTGCAGGACCCATATTTTAAAGCAAACGTACATGGCTGGCTTTTGAAAGATGCACCTCTTTCAGGTAGATGAAACACGTTTTCATTGGAATTGTCATGGTACTGAAAAGTAGCCCTAAGGAGTCTAGAAATAGAATTTCTTTTCCCTATCTAATCTGCAGAAGCCATTTTCATTCAAACTTAATGTAACACAATATGTTGAATGAAACATCTGAAGCCAAAGAAGAGCTGCTAGATGTGACAGTGGATCCCCTCCTCACTGAAGCATTTTGTATAGTTTGGCATGTTGAATGATGGTGCAGGGATGCATGTGTTGCGAGTTTTCTTTTTTTGTTCTTGGTTGGGGTTTTTTTGTTTTTTTTTTTCCCTGTCTTTTGTTTCCTTTGAGGTGGTTTTTTGTTGGGTTTGGTTTTTTTTTGTTTTGTTTGTTTGTGTTTTTTTTAAGTAGCAGTGATTTTGAGAAAAGTGTGAATGTTTTTCTTGGAAGCAACTTACTATAAGTATGCATTTACAAAGATGACAAGGAATAATTCCTTCTGGTATTATTCTGCTCTTACAGGAGCTTAGTTTTTCTTCCCACTTAATTTTTAATTTTTTTTCCCCCCTTTTTAAAGCATATAAGCAGACTAAGTTAAGTAAATGAGAAAGGGCTGCTTTGGAAGAATTTAAAATTGGGCTGTTAAAATTAATACTCTTAAAGCATGCTCTTCGGGGTTTTTTTGGTGATGCATATTTCTGTATTTACTTCCACATAATGGTATACTTGGTTGTTACTACATACAGTAGTCCTGAATGGAGAGCAGTACAACAACTAACCACTTGGTGTCGCCTGAATATTTTGAAAATGATGCTTGGCGAAAATACAGAAAGCTGTGTTTTAGTTTTACTAGATAGATCATGAACAGATCAAGGGAGTGAAGAAAAATAAAAGTCAGGCTTGTTTAAATATATGAAAATTACATGTCTGGATGTCCCTTTGCTAGAAGGGGAGCCCTGCTACATGTTGAAGTTTAGAAAGTAAATGTTTGGGGAGGGGAACAAAATTAAAAAAAAAAAACAACTGAATGCCCTGTAGAAGAAGTACCTTTTTCATTAATTTGAATCTGATTTCAACACAAATCTGCATCTTTAGAAGTTACACAACACTTTAGTATTGTTTGCAGAATGGTGCTTGGCTATTAAATGTGGTATCCAGTTAGAAAAACATGTAAGAATTCCTGCTCTTGTCTGTTCTGGAGGCTGACTAGATGTAACACAGCTCCAATTTGAAGATTGTATAGTTATGCTGATTAATACACACTCTGTATTCCACCTATGATCTAGAAGCAGTGTTAGTGCACAGTCAGTCCTAAAATATGAGATGTTAATTATTATTCTGGTCCTTGGCATCAGTAATATAATAGCTTTGTAGTTTATGGACTCAGACTGGCTCATCCAGGTGACTTTCTTAAGTATAGGCAGAAGAGAACCTGAAGTTGCATAGGTGTGCTCTGAACTGTAGAACTTCACTTCCCTTTCTTTAGTGGGAGTAAACATCTGAAGCCTGGAAAAGCAGAACATTGTTCTGAGAATGACTGTGGGGTTCTTTTAGTTTTTGTTGTTGTTTTATTTTGTTTTCACGTATTGCTGGTAGAATTCTAGTATTTTAAGGAAATGCCAGAAAATGTCAGACCCTCTTTTCGGTATTTAAGACAATACCCTCTGTAGAAAAGTCTGAGTCTTGGGGAGTTCTCTCCCTACTGAGTATGATGGAGAAGGGAAGAAGTTTTGGTAAAATTTCCTTAGTTTGGAGGATCTGCCAGGTTTTAGACCTATTCTACAGTAGGGTACTCAGTTTATTCACACAGGCTATCCCATGTGGCATCTCACTGAGACACAGTTTAAAGAAATTAATTTTTAGCCAGAAGAGAATACTTAAAAATATTTAACAAACTACTGAAAAGAAAAAAAACACTGATAAATCTCTGAATTAAGGGAAAGCATTTTAATAAGTATAGCACATAGATAGCAGTAATTCCAGTTTGCCACATAGAATGCATAAAGTAAATGGTACCGAAACACACTGTCCCCTGCACTTGATCCCTTATTCGTAGGGATGCACTTATACTTAGCTTGGAGGAAATGGTGCTTGAACCTTACCCAGGTCTCTTGGATCCTGTCCTTACCTTCTAGAGCCATAATCCATGGGATTACTCCAAGTCGGTCCTTGACAAGTCCAAGGTTAGCTCTCTAAATCCAAGGTTGCAGTCCTCTTACTGCCTTGTTTCCTCCATGCAGGATCCTGAACTCCATCATCTCGTGGTCACTGCAGCCAACGCTGGCCCCCAGCCTTCTTATCTCCAACCAGCTCTTTTTTGTTTGTTAGTACAAGGCCACTGGCTTTGTTTAGCAAATACAGATGATAAGTGATGATTGGGGTGTTGTTTTGTTTAGTTGTTTTTTTTTTTAGTGAATTTTAGAAAGGCTTAGAGTGTAGTATAAGATGCTCCTTAAGAGTATGACTTAAGAATATGACTTTGGAAGTCTTAAATATTTATCAGATGATTTATGCATAATGATTTTTAGCATAGTCCCTAAACAAGCATATGTAACTTTGCTGTCCATGAATGCAGCATAGTAGGATAGTAGAGGCAAGTAAACCTCCTAGGATGGTGTTTGGTGCAGGCTTTTCCACCCCCTCAGAGACACTGTCTTATCTTCAAAGGAGACAACAACTTTGCTTTTGTAGACCTCTGATTAATCAGTCAGTCTGATGTTCATGTGGATTTTGCAGCACAAAGGTTACAGTTTTTACTCCTAAAATGACTCTTGGTAATTTTTCAGTCATTTCTGAATTATTTGTGTTTCCAACTTGAGTTTTAAGTCTATGTTCAGCAGTGGATTCTTACTACAGTCATGACCTAGACTTTTTCTTTGGGTAGTTAGTTTAATCTAAAAAAGACTAACATCTCCTCCAATTTGCAAAACCTGTTATTTTTAACCTCCTGCATTTTATGCCACAAGGGTAAACATTCCCTTTTTTCAAATATGCTATTGTAGATGCATCTAAGTGTAGATGTCTGTCACTTGAGGCCTCTCATTTTTTTTAAATGGGGATTACCATCTTTTCTGAGTGTTGTGAGATTCAGTTTTTAAAAGCTTGTAAGTCAGTTTGAAAACAGCATTAAATCCATACTCAGTGTTAACTTTACTGCTGGAAGCATCTCAGTCACTCAGGACTTGTCCTGAAGATTCTGTTACTTTTCTGTTGCTGCTGCTGCTTAGGGAAAGGGAACATAAATTTGTAAATCTATGCCTGTGTAGGATAACTTGGAAAAAAAGAAGATAAATTTAACGATGTTGGACTATGTTTATCCATGAAATGACTTGACTGACTTCAGTAAAATCAGTCACTTCAAAACAGGTATTTACTGAATTTATGGTATTTTTCTAGTACGGTCATGTCCCCATTGGGGTACATCTGGCAGAACTTGGTACTTACTTAATATATATATAAAATTTTATATATATATTTATATATTATATATATTATTTATATTATATATATTCTTACATATATTTATATAAAAAAATAACTAACAACTCAGAAGAGTGATCTAATACACACATTAAATTTGTCTTCATTAATATTTTGTGTTCAGTTGAGGTGAAACAAAGGGTTGTTACTGTGAAGTTTGGTTTTAAAAAAGTGTATGTATATCTATCTATAATGAGAAAATACTTATGTTCTATACCAAAGACTGATGGTGCTTGAACTAATATAATTTCTTGTTGACTTTAGTATTAGGAGTGCAGAGGAAAGGGAAGAATTCAGAATTAGCATAAGACTGTGAAAATGTTCATTATACCATTATCTTAACTCTTAAGAAACTTAAGTCCATTTTGGATAGGTAATTCAGTATGCTTGCTGAAATCAAATTCTTTCTCTTCTTTACTTCCCCCTCTTTTTTCTCCAGCCAACTGTATACCCTATTTGGCTTGAACTGCCCTCAAGAAAAGTTCAGGATGTTTTGCTTTGGATCTTGCTATGAAAGGAAAAAGACCACCAACTACATTGATACATTCTGTGATTCACTGGAAAATCACATTACATGTTTATTGATGAATAATTCTGTAAAACACATATGTTTATTAAACATTTCACTTTAAAGATTAGTGACATGGAATATTAAATTGTTTTGGATAGCTTGATTAGATTTACTTAATTTGTTTAAAAGATTTGTTAGCTGTAGTAGTTTATAAAACAGTTTATTTTTAGTGTTGAAATAATTTGCTACAATTCCTTGTATTTTGAGTTTCACACAAATGTTACAGCTTCTGTGATAATAAATGTTAAGAATCATTAAAAAACATAACCAACAATGCACCACCTTGGCAACTCTGCCTTTTCGTACGTAAACATGCATAATACAAAACTTAAATATCATACTCAGATTTGTTTCTGTAACTTGATGCAAAATTTCATAGGAGGAACATGCTCAATAGCATCTTCTGGTACAGCATTGCATCAACAGAGGAGTGGTATTTTGAAGGGCCTGTTTTGATGTCAACTTACCATCAGGCTACATAAGATGTATTACTGTATTTGTAATGTTGAGCTTCAATACCTTAAGTAATTCTTTGAGACAAAAAATGAGCAAAAACCCCACAACTTGATACATACAAATTACATGTACTTTTATGTACAGCTCACTAAGTTGCATTTACTGTTGTTAGCACAGCTCTGTTGGACATGTGTGCTTTCATGTTTACAGAGGCCTTATTCATATCCAGGCTATCCCTTGTAACCAACACTTCTACTTGCCTGTGGTAGCCATGTTGAACAGCAGTTTGCTCACTTTCTAATCAGGCCATGTTCTTCTGAAGAAAGCATTGTTTAGCATTAAACTGAAAATAGTTTTGAATTTTTAAAATTGGGTAGGTATAATTAATTTTGAGTGAGCCATCTTGATTTTCATTGTGACTGTTTAGCCTTTCTCAGTAAAGTGCTTTATTTATTGAATGACAAAAAAATAAGGGGCATGTTTTGTCTGTTTTTAAAATCTGAAGCTAATGGAGTAGATCATCCTTCCTTTTGGAATTTAATATACAGTTTCAGTTCCTGTTCAAGGAATGCATCAGTCAAGTGGCATACTTTTAAGAGTCTGAGAGCCTCACCTATGCAAGTATTGGTTGTAAGCTTTTTTGCCTGAAAAGTGTTTGTCAAAACTATTATGTAGACAGAAAATGATGCAATGGAAAGATCTAAAGCTGAATAGTTCTTAAAAGCAGTCAACTATTGTGGTCCATCACATATTTCGGTTCAACATGTTTCATCACCATATTGTCTTTTTTTTTGTGTCAATTTCAGTGTAGTTATAGGAGTTTAATTTGCGTTTGATATTGGCTACATAATAGTTGTTTTAAGTGTTTTAATTTTTAATGTTGAAATCATGTGTTTGACTTCTGTACATGAATTCGCATTTCTATTAAATTTACACTGTTAGTATGTGGTGTGTGTAAAAGAAACACTATTTTTTATGTATGGTACCTTCACAGGATTCACTTTGCTTTCTCAAGTAGCGGGTTTTGGCCAGAAGCTCCAGTGCAGGTGCTTTGCTGAACAAGAGGAAGCGTAATGAAGTGGCTTAGCAAAACCTTGAAAAAAGAAGAGACATTTTTAAAATATAATTTTGCTTCATAGCTTCTGTCCCATTTTAAAGTTGTTAAACTGTAATGATTTCCTAAGAAACTCTGTTGGGCGGAAAGAAGAGGGGGCTTGTTTTAGTTCACGTTTAAACTAAGTGGTCCCTGAGGCCAAAACACCAATCTTTAATGACACCTGAAAATAGGGTAGACTTTTCAGTAATATTCTGTGATACTTCTAATGGAAATCTGGGCCAGCCAAAGCTAGGTAGAACTGCTATTGTTAGCTACTCAAGGGAATGGTGTGATGAACTGCAAAAAAAGACTACAGAATATTAAAATGAATACCTGCAGGAGAGCTGACTTACCCCAGGAACAGAAAGAGGTAGTGATCAGTATTGTAGAAGAATGGGTTGTATTTTTCAGGTATGCGAGATCCTTTCTTGTTCAGATTTCTGATTGTGCTACCATCTGTGAAGTAGTTCTGTGCAAAAAGCACTTTTGCTATAAACTAGCAACTCCAGTCATTAACTAAAGTGTGTACTGTGGCAATTATTTTCAATAGTCCCAACAAGTGTGATTGCATAAACCAACAATCAAATGTTTAAGTGTAATACAGCATAGGTGGATGCAAGCCAAACACAACCCTCAGGCAGAATTTGGTCTTTGTTTTGCAGATAAGAGCAAAGGTGTAAGGAATAAGCAGCTGAAGCAGCAGTAGCACTCAGTGGCTGTTAATTCATTTTTTTTGAAGTTTATTTAGAACACATCATTAAAATTGTAATCTCTGCAAAATTGCAAGCATATTTTTTGCATTTAGAGAAATCTCACTGGAGCTTATTAACCTTTGAAAAATAAACCATGTATTCTATAAATACTATGACAAAGGGAAAATGTGGTGCTGCACGGTTTTACAGTAGTTGTAAAACTGACAAGTGAATCCATATACCATCCTGTTCTGTAACAGGTGTAGAAACCAGAAGTCCCTCTGAAAGCAAAGGTTCACTGAAATAAAGTTTTGTTCCTTTGTGCTCAACCCACTGCGTTAAGAACTTGCCCTAAATAAGAGAAGACAGTCCTTATTCCTACAGTTACATTTTTTTCATGTTTTCTTGCTTTTCTTTTAAAGTATTATAATTACTATGTTATGGTTTGTGACAGATGGTAAAGCCAGTGTTACAGAGCAAGCGTGTCTGCGGGATTCAGCTTCTGGCTTCCAACCCCAGGTTTTGTTTTTTTTTTTTTCTTTTTACAGGAAAAAATACCTACAAAAACCCCAGTAGATGAGGTGGGGGAGCTAAGGCTGTTTGTCACCAAGAGCTAGCATCTTACATAACAAGCAAAAGTTACTAAATGCAGATTTCTCGTAAATAGGAAATAATATTAAGCACAAAGTCATCTGGGAGTTACTAGGTTAATGCACACTTGACATAAAAGCAAGCCCCAAGAAATCAGCTGTTACAAGTCTCTTTCAGTGAATTTCTTATCATAATCACTGTAACAGAGAATGACCAGTTTAGCATCATTTTGTGCTATTTAGTATTCCACTTCATGGGCAGCCAGGGGAAGGAAAAGAGGTAACGATCCCGCAGTCTGCGGTACAACTTCCCTGCAGTTACAAAAAACCCTAATAGTCCCCAGAGCATCTAAGAAAAGGGAAGGTTTAAAGCAGTCAGATCTCTCTTGACCCCTCAGTTTTTCACGGGCTAACAAAGCTGTTTGTTAGGAGCCACACAACATGCAGCCATTCCAAGTTGTCTGTGGCTGAACTCTCCAGCTTAAAGAGTCCGAGTAGGAAGGCTGGCCCTCCTCTGCACATTGCAGGCTGCATCAGTAACAAAACCAACCACATCAGGAGGCAGAGCCTGTTGTTGCCTTGTGAAAGCAGTACTGAAGCCAGAAGGATAGCACCAGGCATATGGATCACGGGTGAGAGCAGGTCTTTTCCAAAGGTACAGGCACAGCAAAACTGCCACAGAGAGGCATTAATTGACAAGAATTGTTTAAGAATGCCTCAGTAGTAGTTTATTTTTTGTTTAAATGGTCTTCCATCCAACTGGCATAACTTTCACCTTACTGCAGAAGGGCTTAGTTTCTGCAAGGCCTCATTTTCTTGAAAATAAGCTTTTCTGTCTCCAAAAATATAAATGACAGCTGTAGAACAATGTCAAACCAGATGGAATTTTTAGGACTCCAGAATGCAAATACCTGCTCATGGGAGTTGAAAGAAAATTGTATGTACTGCTTGAAATTTCAGGAAGTAAAAGAACACTTCAGTATCTTCAAAAAGAAGCCTGCAAACCCAAGATTGTTCCAGTCTATGTTTTGAGAATGCAGTGATGCTTTTTAACTAAGCCAACAGATAAAGCTTTAGACTTGAAAGAGGTGAATAATCTACAGTAATAACCATCAAGTGCAGCACTGGCTTGTAGATCAAACAGTAGTGACCGTACTCTGCATTTTAAAACCTGTGGTCCTTGAGAAAGAAGGCATACTATTGCGAGTTTTAGATGGGGAAGGGAAAGCATTGAGGTACAGGAGCTTGACTGTTACAAAATCAAGTGAGTGACACAAAACTGACACAATCAGGAACTGAAATGAAGCAGTGCAGGAACCAGAAGCACCTACAAGGGCATACTGTGGCTCGCAGAAGCTGGTCTGTTTACTGCAGTTCAGCTTAGGTAGGAAGTCAAGAAAGCTGTGGCAGAGTATGAAAGATGACAACCCAAGGAGGGTAATACTTGTAAGTACCAATGTTAAAATATTCTGGATGGGTAAAGACAGATTATTTGTGTGCAGTCAAAATCTGCTGGGGAGAGAAAAAGAAACAAAACTATGTGAAAGTCAGTGGAAATCCATACCTTGATAGAAAACTTTATGTAAACATGGCCATGCTGCTAGGGCAGCTTGCCAAGAAACGAGTACCCATTTCAGTAAGTTCAACTATACGAGTTACAACTTCAGGCCTCAAACTTTTTTTCCTATGCTGCCAGAGGCTGTGGCTGCTATTGCCTTACAGTTTCCTGCAGAGGGAAATATTCACCAGTGCATTAAAACCAAATATTGAGTCAAATGATCATTATCAAAGCTGGAAACATCTCTACGTGTAAGCAAAGAGTGAAAGGCTAGAGTGTCAATAAGAGTATTCACTGAGTTACATAGCTTTTTAGCAGAAGTCAAAACATTTCAAGCAATAAAATAGCTCTCTGAGCAAAGGGAACCTATCAAATCAATGGGAAACACAAAAGAGGCGTCTTAAATCTTACTCCTTTATGATTTAGGAGCCTGCCTCTGGGCTGCAATACTGATGTTGTTACTCTAACGAAGAAGAAAATTGGTGTTCTAAAAAGAATGGCACTGGAGGCTCTTATTTTCCCTTGGATGTGTATTCTACCTCAGCTCTGTATTCCTTTCTACCAAACCGATTTCTGTGTCTGGTACTAAGGAGAGGACATAACTCCTGGATCTTGAATGTCCTGTGCTGGGCAAGCATTCCTTAAGCAGCACATGTGACCTTCACTACCTGTGCCCAGTGCCTCAGCTGGCCCTGCAACAGCAGTCCTTCTGCCCCACATCCTGACGTCTCCCTTCCTCTGCTCCACAGGTTAAAACAGGAAGAGATGGGAAGAATGATTCTGCCCATTTACCGGTACCTTTTCACAGGCAGAACTTAGTATTTATAGCACACTCCTAAAGAAGGGAGAGCAGTAGGTTGGATTCAGACTGATGAAGGAAGAGACCTTTAACCCTCCTCTAATCCCTCTTTTTCCTTTTAGTGACAAGGATCATAGAATCATAGAATGGTTAGGGTTGGAAAGGACCTTAAGATCATCTAGTTCCAACCCCCTTGTGTTGTTTGTTGATATGTACTTTAACATATGCACCTTCAGCATAATTAAACAGGGTCAGGAAGTTTAGCCAGAATAACATCTATTGGGAATGTCTATCTGGACTCTGGGCAGGAAGCTGTCATAATCTTCCAGGAATCAAGTTGTTCTGGCTGAGGAAGAGACGCCTCACAAACTTAAAAAGCAAAGGAGGCCTTGGGTCCATGCAAAAAGAACCAGGCAAGATAAAACTCAAGATGCCTATGGGATGATGTATTTTGAGGACCACACAACAAGGCTTAAGTGCCCAGTTTCAGTTCTGCCTTGTAGACAGCTATGACTAAAACTCAAATTCTTCATGCAATCCAAGGAGATGTTTGTTTTTTAATATATTACTTTTATACCAGAAATAGAGGTATGCCAGAAAATGCTTGACAGCTCATCTTTAGCACTAGCTTTCCAAGGAGGGGTGGTGCACAGCTTTCATGCATGTAGTCTTGTAGTGAAAACTATGATTAAAGGTTTTTTTTTAGTTTTTTTTTTGAGCTAGACAAAAGTACAAGAAAAAAAGGCAATCCTCCTCCCCCCCATATCCATTATCTAAAATAATGTTCATGAGACAAAGCTGCTTGATCTCTAACATTAAGGCATATGTTTTAATGGAACTTTAACTACATATTTTTTTTGTTAAAAAAAGCATACAATTTTCAGCTACCATATCATATTTTAGCTACCTAATTATATTTGTTTCATCCATTCATCTGTGTCAAGGATTTAAGCTATCAAAGTGGTAGATTAAGAAGGGAGGAAACAGTCACATCACCCACTTTGTCCAGCAGTCCAAATACACCACTGAATTTCACTACATCTCCTGGAGCAAGCCCAATAATAGAGGATGAAAGCACATCTTCAGAAAGGCAAAGTCCACAAGATGCCAAACCTTGCAACATAAATTGGATCAGGATTTCTCAAGTTTAAATCTGTACAGTACTTCACTGCAAAAATGCTTGATTTCTCCCACATACAGAGGATGTTT